GTAGTGGTAGTAGTAGTAGTAGTAGTAGTAGTAGTATTAGTAGTAGTAGGTAGTAGGTAGTAGGTAGTAGTCGTAGTAGTAGTAGTAGTAGTAGTAGTAGTAGTAGTAGTAGTAGTAGTAGTAGTAGTAGTAGTAGTAGTAGTAGTAGTAGTAGTAGTAGTAGTAGTAGTAGTAGTAGTAGTAGTGGTAGTAGTAGTCGCTCTTACAGTTGCAATTGAAAGAGTGGTGACGATGATACTGGTGGTGGTGATGATGATGTTGCTGCTACTGCTGCTGCTGCTGATGATGCTGCTGCTGATGATGACGGTGATGACATGGTGATTCGGTACTGGTACTGCTGATGATGTTGAATGCGGTTAGAAAGATGAGCAGAGTGGTGCTGGTGGTGGTGACGACGACGACGACGATCATGATGATGCTGATCACGATGATGCTGATGATGATGATGATGAGGATGTCGATGATGATGCTGATGATGATGATGCTAATGTTGATGATGGTGATGACGCAGATGTTGATGATGATGTTGATGTTGACGATGCTGAGGATGACGACGAGGATGATGACGTCATGATGCTGATGATGATGATGATGGTGGTGGTGGTGGTGATGATGGTGACGATGATGATGATGTTGACGACGCTGTTGTTGTTCATGATGATGATGATGCTGTTCGTGATGGTGGTGGTGTTCATGATGATGGTGCTGGTGATGGTGATGGTGATGATGATGATGATGATGATGATGATGATGAGGGTGATGATTATGATGATGATGACGATGACGATGATGATGATGATGATGATGATGATGATGATGATGATGGTGATGGTGATGATGATGATGATGATTATGATGATGATAACGATGAGGATGATGATAATAATGGTGGTGGTGATAGTGATGCTGATGATACTGATGATGTTGCTTACGCTGGTGCTGATGCTTATCATACCACTGATTATGCTGCTCATGACGGTGATGATGAATTGTGGTGGTGGTGGTGGTGATGAGCAGGATGATGCTGCCGCTGCTGCTACTGTTGCTGCTGCTGCTGCTGCTGCTGCTGCTGATGATGATGATGATGATGATGATGATGATGATGATGATGATGATGATGATGATGATGATGATGATGATGATGATGATGATGATGATGATGATGCTGATGGTGATGGTGATGATAAGGAGGAGGAGGAGTAGGAGGAGTTGGATGAGCAGAAAGCTTGCTTCCCCCCTTTCCTCTTCCCACTCCCCCGCTCCTGCCCCTGCCTTCCCGACTGGGGCATCCCTGTGGGTGTCCTCCCTTCTCATCGTTGTTGTGTGCCAGCTGTCCATCGGATGTTCAGACGCACTTGGGTCGCTGAGTCGTTGAGAGGGCGATGCAGATGGGCGGACCCCGTCCCAGGTGCTGCCCCCGAGAGCTCCCGGGCAGAAGGGGGCTGCGCTGATCCGCTTCGAGACGACGGAAGAGGCCTCGTGGATAGTGGAGAACCTGAACGGCAACATCCCTCAGGCGACCTCGCCATGCCAGCATCCTTCACGTGGGCTTTTTAGTACCACTGCGCAGGCAGCTGGCCACCGTCTCTGACTCCACCCTTCTGGGTAGTCGAAGGCCAGACTGTTAGATTGGATTGGGCCCCAAGGGCCAATCTGGCCTGGCCAAACTGGATGATTTGGGTTATTCGCCAGACTGGATTCGCGTTGGCTCCCTCGCCAGATTGCCCCCGTTTGCCAGATTGGGCCTGCCAGATTGGCGCCAGATTAGCTTCGACTACCCAGCCCTTCTTTCCCCTGCCCACTCTTTTCCTCCCGTCTCCTCTCGCGCGTGAGGATACGGGCCGCTCTCCAGCCGCGTGTGCACTGAGTCGGTCTGGTGATGGTTGCCTTCTCGGAGCTGGACGCGGATGGCCGCTATTGTCCAAGAGACTGGGTAGTCGAAGGCCAGACTGTCAGATTGGATTGGGCCCCACGGGCCAATCTGGCCTGGCCGAACTGGATGATTTGGGTTATTCGCCAGACTGGATTCGCGTTGGCTCCCTCGCCAGATTGCCCCCGTTTGCCAGATTGGGCCTGCCAGATTGGCTTCGACTAACCAGACAGCAGTGCGCAGTGCACGTGTCGAGCCGAGGTCGACTGTAGCTGCCTCGACCTCTGTCCGACTTGCCCGCTGAAAGATTCGATTCTGCGGATGTCGCCGAACGGTTGTATGTAGCGCTTTTGCCATTCCCAGTTTGGTCTCGGGCGGGGCTGCGCAGGTTCGCTATGGAGCCGTTCGGGTCGTCTATGGTTCAGTCGGGCCTGTCCCCCTACAGGCCGACTTTGGGGGAACACGCCCGACTTAAAGCTACCCCAGTCCCAGGCGTCAACGTCCCGAGCCTTTCTGAGCCTCCCGCCCCACGGAGCGGAGCGACACGCTATCCGCTCGCATTGCATAGCGTGTCGCTGGGGCCGCCGCGGCGACACGCTATGTAAGATTTCCCGACCGTAGTGTGCGCATGGCTGTGGCACAGCGTGCGCCGCAGCTCCCGGTGCCCGGTGGCGGTGGCTTTGCGGCAGCACCGCTCGCAGGTGCCCGCAGCGGTGCAGCTGGCGCTGCCCCCCGGACGTCCGACGATATGGTCTTTTCAGTGCGCGGCCGCACAGGTCCCGAGCTCTCCCCCGCGGTTGGAGGGCAAAGCCTACCTTCTTCTGGGAGGCCGATATCCCGGGCCTATGCCAAGTACCGTTCTCACTTTCTGGCCACACGCGTCTACAGACACGTTGGATGCCGTTACAGATGTAGACACGTTCGGGGTGGATACATCTATATAGACAATGTGGCCGTTGCGTTCGGCGCAGTGCAAGGTCGGAGAACGGGTAGATTCGTGAACGTTATGTTCCTGTTCTAGAGCAGGTCCCACATGGTACTCCAACCCTGCGGGCAGGCTTTTGTCCAAGATCAAGTTTGGTTGCGCCCAGGAAGCCAAAATGGAGGAATCGGAGGTTGGGGGGTGAGATCGCAGTGAAACGGAGACCCCCCACCGGGAAATCGGTTTCGGTTTCGTGTTCGTGTCGTGCGTGCGGGCGAGGCGAAGCTGCACGTGATCCTCCTGTAGCTAGGCCGAAGTAGGAGCGAAAGTCCGTTCCCGTCCGCCGGTGGCTGGGAGGTGTCCCAGTTGGGCCGGGCGGTGTCCTGGGTGTCCCGGGTGTCAGTAGGAGCGAAGTCCGTTTCCCGTCCGCCAGTGGCCGGGAAAAAATGCCCCCCAATGGCCAACAAATGGTCAAAAGATCGTCCCCAGACTATGTTTTGACGATCTTTGAATATCCCTCCTGTAGCTGGACAGGCCCGACTTGATCCGAGGCTCGAAGCCTTCGGGCGGCGCCGCCAGTTCTCGGGGGCGGAAAAGAGGGGGGTGATGACTAGGGGGGGGTGGATATCATGTCGTGGGCCATGATATTTCCCCAGATTTCATGGCGCCTCTTCTCGTTTCATTACGTCCCTGGTCCCCCCGCTGGGCCGCGCACATGCCGCCGGTCATGATTTGCACCCCCCCCGAAGTTCTTGCCGGGTGCTCTCCGGCAGCCGCGCCCGAGAGCGCCCCGCCGGGGTGCCCGCGGCTCCCGCCGCACGGCCGGCGGGGAGCCGACGTACGTAGCCCAGAAGCCCGGCGACAATGCGTCAGGAGGGCGTGCGCAGGCCCAGGGTGAATCTCGGGCCGGGCGAAAGGGGGGGATTGGGAAAGGGGGGGTTACGAAATTTGCTGCATGCAGCTGGTTTCGGCCCCATCGAGGGGCCCATTCCTCGATACATGGTCGCCTCCGGCGCCAGGAGGCGCCGGGAAAATCAGCTGCGTGAGCTGATTCTCAAACCCCCCCTTTGCTATCCCCCCCTTTCGCCCGACCCGAGAATCGATTAGACGTAAGAGTGGCCTTTCGCCGGAGTGATCTTTGGTGCGGGCACAGATGGGTCCCCAGGCGGCTGAAAGCGAAGCAGGTGCAGCGGCTTGCGCGCCCAGGTTTGGTCCCCCCGCGGCCCCCAACAAGCCGCGCACCAAAGGTCACTCTTACCCAGGGTCACTCTTGCGTGTAGCCGAGTGAAGTCGGGCTTATCCCTCCACAGGAGGAGTATTCAAGAACAGTGCAAAAAAATAGTAAGGGGACGACTTTTTGGCTATGTTTGCCCACTGGGGGGGGGTATCTCTGAGTATTCTTTATTTTTTTGCCCAAGATCCCCCGTAGGGGGACACGCCCGACTTGAGCCCACTGGGGGAGTTGCACCCGGGGTCCCCCCCTCCCCCCCTAAAACGACGCGAAGATCGGGACAAAATCGGATCGGGGATAACTCGAAATCTCTGAGAATCGGCGGGTTTGGAGGATGTATTGGGCGCCGCGGCCGCTCCAGAGCGTTCCGGAACGCTCTGAGAGCGCTCCGGAACGCTCTGGAGCGATTTATCCAGATCCTAGCCCCGTTTTACCCCCCCCCCCGCGCCAGTCCCCCGCTGACGCTCTCCCTCACTCTCACCATCTCGGGGGCCTATCGCCGATCCATCGTGGACGCATGGCCGATTCCAGGTCGATGCTGCCCTCCGCGCCCTTGAGCCAGTCCCCCGCTGACGATCCCCCCCACTCTCCTGGTCAGGGCGCTTTTCCATTCCATTTGGTAGATTACATTCGTGGAGCTTCGAAGCCAGGTTCTGCGCTACGAACTTTGCCGCCTCCAAGGGGAAGTCTTCGTACGTATCCTGCCGTTGCAACGATGTGGTGACGAATATGGTGCCTGGAATAGAGGCCCCCCGATGGTCTCTGAGTGCCCCCTGCGGGGAACGCCCGTGGCGGGTGCTTGTCGTCGACGGCTTCCTGGGCCTGCGAGTGCGCCACCACGGCGCTGGAGGGAGAGGTGTGCATTTCGCGCTGTTGCCAGAGGAACTGACCAGTGATGGCGTCTTGGGTCGCAACGTTCCACGCAGCCTGGTCCAGCGCCCTCGCGCGTGGGTTCACGGCCCTCGTCTCCGTCCCGTCCTTCCTTCTCCCCCCCTCATCTTCCTCCTTCCCCTCTGTCCCCTGCCTTGTCTGTTGACCCTTCTTCCCGTCCCTCTCCTCCCTCCTCTCCTTGGTCTTGCCCTCCCTTCCCTCCGCCCCGTTCTCCGTCCAGTTTGATCCGACCGATCCTGTTTGACATCGGTTCTGGCCAGCGCGATCCAGTTCGATCCGGTATTCCGGCGTTCCCGTGCCGCCCGATGCTTGCATGGCGCTGTCGGGCATCCTGGCGCAGCCGATCCGATCCGATCCGACCTCGCCTCCGTGCCGATGCAGCCGCAGCCCGATCCGCCCTGCCCTGGTGCGCCAGGCCCCGCCCTCGCCCTCGCCCTCGCCCTCGCCCCCGCCCTCGCCCTCGCCCTCGCCCTCGCCCTCGCCCTCGCCCTCGCCCTCGCCCTCGCCCTCGCCCCGCCCTCGCCCTCGCCCTCGCCCTCGCCCCCGCCCTCCCCTCGCCCCCGCCCTCGCCCTGCCCCCGTGGCGCCCCGCCCCCCCGTCCCGCCCCGCCGGGCCCCTCCCCGCCCTGCCTCGCCCCGCCTCGCCGCTGGCTCTGCTGCTCCCCCCCCCCCCTCCTCCTCCTCCTCCTCCTCCTCCTCCCTCCTCCTCCTCCTCCTCCTCCTCCTCCTCCTCCTCCTCCTCCTCCTCCTCCTCCTCCTCCTCCTCCTCCTCCTCCCTCCTGCTCCTCCTCGTCCTCCTCCTCCTCGTCCTCCTCACTCCTCCTCCTCCTCCTCCTCCTCCTCCTCCTCCTCCTCCCTCTCCTCCTCCTCTCCTCTCCTCCTCCTCCTCCTCCTCCTCCTCGTCCTCCCCCCCCCCCCCCCCCCCCCCGCCACCCCCCCAGGCCTTCAGCGAATTGTGCTCGTTCGATCCCGGCGTTTTTCTTCCGCTTCGGCTTCCCGGGGGCCGTTTTCGGGCCCCGGGGCCATCCCCAGACATGATCGCGTCGTAATATGATCAGGACGGCACGTTTTTCGCTATTTTCGGCCCCTCGCCGGTCCCCGGGAGCTTCAAAGAACGACTCAGGATGAAACGCCGGCCCCGGGGAAAGGGTCTGGACTTCTGGGGACGCCGTCCTGAAAAATCAGGACGTCGCATGTCTGGGTTCTCGGGGCCATCCGGAGGGGGCCTTGGACGCGGAGCTCCCCCGGGGCAGGGGTCGGGGCCCGGGGCCGTCGGATCGAAGGCAGCAGTCCGCCGCATGCCTGGGGCCCCTCGCCCATCCCCCCAACATACTTATACTATGTGTTCGTCGCCCCCCCAGGGGCGACGCGCGCACCGAGAAATCTTATAGTATATGCGTCGTGGCGGGCGCTTTCTGGCCACACCGCTCGGGAAACGATATACCACAAGATGGGTATACTATATGTTCGGGTCGGACGCGCGCGTCCAAGGATGACATATAGTACTAGTACGTCTTTGTGCATCCCACAGGGGATGTCCGAGCCAGTGTTCGTCCAGTTCGCCCGGCCCTCGCCCGCCGGCGGCTGGGCCAAGGGCGGCGGCGGCGGGCTCCGCGGGGGGCCGCCGCGGCGTGCGCGGGGGGAGGGGTGCCCGCGGCGAGCCTCCGGGGGGGGGGGGGGGGGGGGGCGCGGGGTTGGGAGCACAGTGGCCCTGTGAGGAGGGCTGAGCGGGCCTTCGTCCAGGGAGGGGGCGCGGGGTTTGGAGCAGTGGCCCTGTGAGGAGGGTTGAGCGGGCCTTCGTCCATCGGCGGCCAGCCCGGGGGGGAACCCAGACCCCCGACGTCATGATTTTTTCATGACGCGACCCCCAGAGGTCCGGACCCATTCCCCGGGACCGGTTTGTCATCCTGAGTCGTTTTTTGACGCTCCCGAGGCCCGGTGAGGGCCCCCGGAGACCGAAAATTAGGAAAAACCTCCCGTCATGATTTTTTCATTACTCGAGGGGGTCTGGGGAGGAGGGTTGGAGCGGGCCTTCGTCCATCGGCGGCCAGCCCGGGGGGGAAGCGAGAGGGGGCGAGCCTTCTCGAGGGCTCGGAAGTCCTCCGGCCTCCCGAGCAACTCCCAGAGCCCTCCCCGAAGACACGCGGAGACCCCTGCTCTCGGCAGCCGGAGGCTTCTGAGAGGCCCCGCCGCCTTCTGAGCAGGCCTTCTGCTCCCCACCTCCCCTCTCGCTTCCCCCCCGGGCTGGCCGCCGATGGACGAAGGCCCGCTCAACCCTCCTCCCCAGACCCCCTCGAGTAATGAAAAAATCATGACGGGAGGTTTTTCCTAATTTTCAGCCTCCGGGGGCCCTCACCGGGCCTCGGGAGCGTCAGAAAACGACTCAGGATGACAAACTGGTCCTGGGGAAGGGGTCGAGAACTCTGGGGTCGACGTAATGAAAAATTCATTACGTCGGGGGTCTGGGTTCTGAGCAGGCCTTCTGACCCAGACATGCGACGTCCTGATTTTTTCAGGACGGCGTCCCCGCAAGTCCCGACCCTTTCCCCGGGACCGGTTTTTCGTCCTGAGGCGTTTTTTGACGGTC